TTTTGAAAAGGGTGGGGAAAATTTTAGGAAAGAAGAGGATTACTCGCTGTTATAGAGCTCAATTATGAGATGTATCTTTTATAGATAAATTAGGGATTTTAGACTCAATTTGGGTTGTAAAAATTAAAAATAAATAAATAAATAAATAAAACACTCATACCTCGAAAGTAACTGAGCTAAGGCCATCTCCCCTTATGTATGAAATCCTGGAATTGGGCACCAAAGCTTGAATCATACATGTCAAGGACTGAAATTGGTTCGTGCTGAGTGAGTCACCCACAAACATTATCTTCTTTCCTCTCCATTTCTCCAAGAAATACAACCCATTGAACCTACAAAAACATCCTCCCACCTATCAATATGCCGAAGACATTTAAAGGGAAACAGAGCTGAAAAATGTATGTACCTGGGGAGGAAGCACGAGAAGGGTTGCCATCTGTACTTGAGGTAGGTGCTATCAGGTCGGCCATACTTTTTGCAGTTGAATTGTGGATCTATGAAGGGACATTTATAAGGGTCATAGAGAGGATAGGAGGAATCATAGACCCATTTCCCCTGAAACCAATTGCAGTTTCCAGCTAGCTTTCTGGCACTGGTGACATTATTGAAGGCATTGAAATCTTCATCAGCTTTGGCTGTTTGGTGTAATTGTAAAAACAGAAACAGTAGAGAGAAGAAGAAGAGAGATTTGAGTATCATGAAATTGAAACCCATTTTCTTGGGTTTCGTTTTCTCCTTTTCTTGAATTTCGTTGGGGTAAAGGACGAGAACCGAAGGGAAAAAGTTGTATGAAACAACTGCTTATATATTGAGTTGAGGGAGGCATCACATGGAATATGACTAAAGAGTACTTGCTCTGTTTTAATTATTTTTTCCCTCTGCACATGAAGAAATTAAAATTGAAATCTTTGGATGTATGCTTTTCACTGTATTGTGTGGGGTTGGTTTGGATCTAGTGGTTTCTTTGAAAAATAAGGAATCATCATGACTTTGATAACAAAATAATCGGAATATTTTCCCATCCGTAAAAGTTTCCTTTCAAATTTACAATTTTTTTTTTTTTGGGTGGGTCAAAAAAATCGGCGTTTTCTTTTTTAAACAATACTTAAATGTTTTGCATAAAAGGTTCCTATCGATTCTCAATATATCTCGATAAATCCTAGTTACATGTTTTTAAATATTTTATACCTTTTTAATTTTTCAGATTTTATTATAATTTTACAATAGTATTTAGTCTTTCTTGCACTATCTTTTGATTTTTTTTTATACAATAAAAATCATTATCTTTCATCTTATATATTTATTTATGTATAATATAATTCAAACTTATAATTTTTTATTTTTATTAAAAAAATTATCCTGCACTATTTAAGAAATTACCTTTTAATTTTTTATGTCTAGATTATTAAAGTAGAAAATATGATGTAATATAACAAATAATATGAATTAATTGAAATTTAATTAAAAAACCAATAAACCCATACAGAACCCGTTCCTTTCCTTTCCACCACGCCATCATCTTTTTTTTTCTACTATCAAATTTTAGTCCATTCATCAGTCAATTTACCGTTTGTATCTTTTTCTTATTTAAATTGAAGTAGAAGAGCTAAATAAATTGTAACTTATATCTTCGCAATTTCTAAGTGGATTTCTTCTTATCTAAATTGAAAAAAGGGGGCCATTCAAAAAATGTGGAACTACTAAAATTCTCTCTATTTCCAAGGGTTTAACTTTAAGGGTTGTTTATATTGATATTAGAATATAATTAATCATCTATCATCACCTCATAATACCCAAATAAACATTAAGTAATAATTTCACCATCGAGCTAGTCCCACCTAATTATACATTTTGCTTCTTTGGTTCTCACCTAATCCAATCCAATGTAAAATGATGAGTATTACCCGTTGGCACATAAAAAATGATAATTATTCTTAATATCTATGAATTGATGCTTAGTCTCCTTAAGTGTTGCAACTGAATTAATTTAAAACAAATGTCTCATAATTCGATTTATGTCTCTAAAGCTTAACGTATGATTATTTTTTGAATTAATTTACAACTTTATTTGTGATACCCTAAATTTTATATTGGAATGAAAGTGTGAGTGTAATTAGTATATAAGTATGAAGACAAATTACTGCTAATAACTTAAACTTAAACTTTTGAAGGTCTACAGACCTTAATCTAAAGAGTTGTTAAGGATATTGCTTGGCTTTGGCTTGGGTTGTTATAATTAGTCTCAAAGTAGTCCCTTTCACAAGTGTGGGCTATGCTAGGTCGATCTTATATTGAGGGCTAGTAGACTCTGTGCTAATTGTGATTGGTCTTGATGAGGACATCAAGCATTTAAGTGAGTAGATTGTGATATCTTGAATCTCACATTGGGATGGTAGTGTAAGTATGATTGGTGTACGAATGTGGAGACCAATAACTATTAACAACTTGAGCTTAAACTTTGGAGGGCATGTGGACCTTGCTTTAAAGACTTGTTAAGCCAGTAATGGGTTTTTCCCCAAAGTCGTTACAATTGTGACACCTCGAATCCCATATTGAGATGGAATTGTGATTTGTGAGTGTGATTGGTATATGGTTGTCATGATCAACCACTGCTAACAACTTGAGTTTAAGTTTTTGAGGTTTTGTGAAGCTTAACTAGAAGAGTTCTTAATCTCATGGTAGGTTTTGACTCAGGTCTTTTCAATTGGTATTAGAGTGGTCATCTCTTACAAGAATTGGCCCATGTTGATCATCATGGTGGTGGCTTTACTTGCCTTATATTGGGTGAAGAAAAGGGGGTTAAGCTTAGTAGGGCTCAAACCTAGAATATAACCATTATGACCAGTCAGTCATTACTCGAGATGGCTCTTGTGCTTATAGGTTAGTGGACCTCATTCTAATTGTGATTGGGTTTGATAAGGATGTTAAGTGTTTAAGTGGGAGATTGTGATATCCTATATCCTAGGTCAAGATGAAATTACAAGTGTGATTGGTATATAATTGTCATAACCAACTACTATTAACAACCTGAGTTTAAGTTTTGAAGGACTTATGAATTTTAGCCCAAAGAATTGTTAGGCTTGTGTAAATGACCCTTCATCTTCGATTTGTATCTCTATGCAAGCAACATCATTGCTAATTTCTTGTTGTTCTTGTGGAGACTTAATAGTGAGCAAAACACCAATACCATCTAAATTTTAAAAAGTGTATTTTCAATAAATATGAGTCATTTGTTCATTTAATAAATTTATATTAAAATAAAAATGAGTATATTAGATGATAAAATGAACAAATACCATGAAGAGACTTCTTCCTTTTCTTGAGTAGTTTTTCATCATAAATATGTTCAAATACGTACCTAGGGATCACTTCGAGGTCTTCACTTCAATTTCTTCACTCAATTCCTTGACAATAGTGTCAAGATGAAATTAGATTTTGCAATCATTATACAAGACAACATGGTATGTGTTCTTGTTCTTCTCCATAGAGAAATTTTACATGTAATAAATATTTTATTAAGTATTATAATCAGATTGATTGATACACAATCCAATTCAACACACTACACAATACATTTATTAAAAAATCACTATTTCTTAGTATGAAATTAAAGGCAGACAAATTTAAAGATACAATCATACACATAAAATGTAGGAATCAATTAAATTAATTGTATTTATATTATATTTTTAATAGTTAAACCGAAAGTGTGTTAGAAAATATGTTGAATTGATAGTATACAAATCATTTTCCATTATTATATGGGAATTAATTTACTAAAGAATAAAATATATTGTGTTGCAAAAAATTTTGAAAGGGTATTAATTTAATGTAATCAAGCTTCAACTTTTTCAATGAATTTTATTTAACAGGTTCATTAAGTATTAATTTGAGATTTATTGAAGATTTAAACACATTTTATAATATAATAAGATATAACTGAATTTAGATTTGACCTATTTTATAATGGGATTATCTTAAGCCTCATTAATTGTAATATTTGTAATTAATTTTGTACAAATTTTCATATATGAGTCAAATAAAATATAAAACAAAACATAATATAATATTTGTACTCAAAATTTGTAAAAGAATTATAAATCTAATATGAAAATTTATATAAAATTAATTTAAAATACCTTAATTAATGAGTTTTAATATATGCCCTTAGGGCACAAGTTAAACAAGTCCTTTTATAATAAAATTGAAGTATAGAAAGGGAAGTGTTATACTCTAATTGAGTTCTATGGAAATTATGACACATGGAAGCATCTAAAAGAGTTTTAAAAAGATTAGAGGAGCTAAATCCAATTAGGATAACACTCAATACCTATCACGTAAAGATTTAATCCTAAGAGGATTCTATGCATTACCCTATAAATGATAGATCTAGAGGGGCAATTTTTCCATTCTCTCACCATTGTAAACTCTATTCGTTCTACATCAATAACATACTCAATTTTACCTAACCTCTTTGTTTTTTAGGGTTAACATTTGACACCCATCATGGGGTCAAGTTCTCTTAGATCTACAAACGCCACATGGCAAATTCGAGTAACAAAGACTAACCACTGCCACTCATGGATGCTCCAAGGTTGGAGTTTTATAAGGAAGCAAGTAATTCTTCTTCATCTTGAACTTTGGTGGTGCAGCAAACGAAGCAATACTAAGAGGTTTGTCGTTGGCATCATATCTTAGAAGCCTTACATATAGGATATGGTGGAGACAACATATAGTTTGAGGGCAATTGAGCAAGCTATGACGATATTGAGACCAATGTTATAAATATTTTAGGGCAAGGTTTAGGGTTGTTAGGGCAAGGTTTAGGGTTGTAGCGAGAAGGACATGATAGGCTGCAAAGGATTTTGTCACCAATGACCAGGAGCATTGACCAAATTTCTTAGGTAGAACAAGATTCAAAGGGAGAGGGTAGTGATTCTGTTGATAAAAGCTATGTGCCTTCACGACTCAAAGAACCAATTGTTGACTTAAACACCAGTTTCGGTAAACCTTCAATAAGGCGTCAAAATGTCAAGTATGACCAAAATTCCTGATAAGAACCCTAAAGAGAACAATGAGACCCACAACACGATAAGGGATTTCGAAACTCTAGAAAAGCTAAATCAGGTTTATAATAGGATTTTGACCTGTTGTTTATGTCACAACAAGAACCAAACGTAAAAACATTGGCCCGTTGTCTATGACACAACAAAAACCAGAGGTATAAAGTTGGTTGACGTCACACCCTCGAACGGTTAAGAACGAGAATGATAAGTCAAGTTAGAACGCCACAAGAATAATCTTTGATATGTTTTGTAAAGTTCTAAAATGAACCAAAGAGAAAAGTCTCTCAAAACACTCAAATTCAATAGCTGCCTCAATTAAGGTTACAAGCCCTTTAAATAGGAAAAACTAATCTTAATTAGAGAAGGAAACTAACACTCTAAGTCCTAAACCTAATAACCACGAATTGGGCTTCAAATAAATGAATGTTCAATCTAAAAATAATACAAAAAACATCAAAATCACTCAAAATAACCTAACATAACATGAAATATCAACTTGCTACAAATTGCGACAGAATTCTACAATTTTGACACAAACTGTGTAATTCAGCATGAATGACCTTAATTAAGCTTCTCTTGGACCTAAATGATGTTTACCATGCCATGATAATTATCCAAGTTTCGATTTACTTGTTGCATGTTTTTTTCAATCCAGATCTGCTCAATAAGGTCATTTAAAATTTCTCCCATCTTCTTAGCTCTAGCTCTCACGA